TCCCCTCAAAATGTGGACACCTTGGTCCAAATCTGAACACCTTGATCCAAATTTTGAACACCTTGGTTTAAATTTTATTACATCTTGCCAAATTTTGAACACCTCAAATTTTTCGCGCTCGGTACGCTCGCGTTTAAAATATCCATCAACAGGGGGGGGGGGGGGGGGGGGGGTAGGGGTAGGTACGAAAAATTTTGGACAGAATGCGTGACATATACTTAATTCACGTGAAAAGTCCGAACGAAATGCGTACGTTTTTTTTCCGGCGTTCGTATTTTTGCTGTGTAGACAATCTTTTTTAGAAATTTTTCTAAATTAATATTTTTGCTTGACAATTACCAGGTAAAATGCGTATTTGCGTGACATTTTCTGTCACGCAAAAATAACTGGCGTGTCTTCAAATTCTTCAGCAAATGCGTGACAAATACGCAAATTGCGGGACAGTTGACAGGCCTGGTATTAGACATTGTTTCTTTTCACGTTAGATCATGGTTTTGGGCTATATGGGGTTTGTTTTTCTTGACTGGTATGCACTGAGAGTTTGCTTTTTCTTGCTAAGTTCCATTACAACTTTTAGTCCTTTCCCTTTGGCACTAGTGCTTATATATTTAATTATTTCATATTTCGCCATGGATTTGATTTTAAATGCTTCTTAATGATCTTCAAATGCTTACAATGATTTCTATTTGTAATGTTTTGACTTCCCCGGTTCATAACAACAACATTATCACCATTTACGCAACTCGAAAATTCACTTCCAGTCGTAATAAAGATGAGCTGAAAGTTGTTGTGAACACCTTTCAATCTTCAGTCTAAATATTGCATTTCAAGGTTCAATATACAACTTTGAATGGACCTGCATGCATAGTTCGAAAATAGAAGGCTTTGTATAAAAAAACCTCCTACCTCATACCCACCTACCCACGTATGTTGGACATGATACAAATTTTGAAGGGTTCAATTTTAAAGATCTTAGTTTATTAAATCTTAGTTTATGCTACTACAGCCCAGCTAGGTTCGATTCCCACTCGGGGCATCGAATTTAGCACACTTTCTTTCAATTTCTTTATCTGGCTGGTTGGACCTATGCTTGCGGTCGTTAGTTATTCCCCTGGGGCGCCCTCGGGTCATTACACATTACAATGCACCCATATACCTTAATTTATGGATCTGTCATCCATCTCGTCATAAAATAAAGCCGGAATTGTAGAAATGTTAATAATTAGAGCTATTTTGAGATTTAAAAACCTTTAAAATTGAACCCTTCAATGACCGTATCATGTCCCACGTACTTTATGTAAAGCAGGTTTGTAAATAGTTATATTTTCATCAGCAGGCAGGATATAGCTTTACATTCTCGCTAAGTAGGCAGACATACTATACCTGCCCACTAAATCATAATTGTTGTTTGCAATGTCAACCAGATAAGCTGAATAGATACACACGGAGGTACAGCCATTTGGCAGATGTACTATATTGGCCTCAGTATAATCCAAAATCCTGAACGTAATAAAGCATAATCTCAAATGTATCCGCTAATCCACTAAAATTTTCCTGGATAAAGGAACTGACAAAGCGTTTCACTATATTCCTTACAAACTTCATTTACCATAGTCTGAAGGACATATCTGCAAGCACTTACTTCTGTAACAAATTCATTAAAGGCACATTGTAACAAACAGCTAACAAAATGGTTCAAAAAATGGTTTAAAACCTTTTCTGATGATTCTATTTTAGCCTTGTATTGCGACAGCAATCATGTATAAGTTATTGTGCATAATTATATCACGTGATTCAGTTAAATTGGGCGCTTCCAAATCGGTTATAGCAGGGGGAAGAAGGAGGTACAGATTCTGGACACCTGCTTCGGAGGATGCATATTGATTGAGAAGATGAATTGGTTCCAATTTTGTTATGTGTAAATGTATCTTTCAATGTTTTAAGTTCATATTCTGTAGTTAGATTTCAACTTTATCATTTTGGTTGGATTGTGATAGGACATTTAAAAACACTGATAACATTTTTCAAATTTAAAAGTCCTCAAGATTAGCCAATCAAAATCAAGTACTGTAGATTGGGTTAATTTGGCGCTACTTAATTTGGCGATTTTGCCATTTTTGGCATATTGGCGGCTATTTAATTTGGCGGATATGCAAAAATTTTTTTAATTAACTTACGCGTTGTTTGCGAATTTTATGTTCATTTTTTCTTTTGAGGACCACTGGCAATATTCACCACGTTTGTACATTTTTGTGAGACCATCCTTTACATTTTGCACCTCGATTGATGCTGCTACTATACTGCACTTTTCCTTTCTAGTTTTTCCCTGAGTATTAATAAGTGACTGACCAGTTCTGAGCCAATTTATGAGAGACATTTTTTCATATTTTTGGAAAAAACTAAACCGGAAGTGACCTAAATACACTCGACGAATTACCCTAGATAATCCCGGGGGTTCATTCTAAATTTTGGCGAAGATTTATATTGGCGAATTTTTCAATTTCGCCAAATTCGCCAAATTAAAGCGGGCGCCAAATTAACCCAATCTACAGTATTTAGCAATGCTGTTAATTAAACTTACTAATCCTGACTCAGGCCTGTCAACTTGGGAACACCTAACATGAGTGACTTGCAAATGTTGAACACCTTTGTTCAAATTTTGGACACCTTGGTCCAAATCTGAACACCTTGGCCACATTTTGAGCACCTTGGTTTAAGGTGACATTTAAGTTAATCAAAAGTACAAAAACATGGGGGCCATATTTTTTTGATAAAGTCAGAAGATTTTGTATACTGTTTTCCTTGTATGTGAATGCATTTCCTGACTAAGACACATAAAAGAAATCCTCACATTTAAACGCATTTTTCATAACTATGATTTTGAGGTGTATGGCTCCCCATAGCTAGCATGAAGAGTGCGAAGTGAGTCTATTTTTTGAAAGTTTCAAGGAGTAGCCTTGCAACAGTCACGCATTTGCAAGAATTCAAAATTTCCAGATATAATCTTACCTTACCAAGGAACAATGAAGGAGCATGAAAATGTGTACTTCTTGCATTGTTAGAGTATAATAAAGCTCAAACCATTGTGAATTCTAAATATTTCATGTCCAACATTTTGTTTCCTGGAACTATTTTTTTTTAGTCCAGAGTTATCCTCATTCATGTTTCCATTGTTTATCATTCATAAAGCCTCTATCATGTATCTATCATGATAATTATACTGTAATAGATAAAATATACAAGTGATAATCCATGCCACTTGGTGTAGTCACAAAACTTGTATGAGGATTAATCAGATCTAGAAGTAGTTCCAGCAAACAAAATGGTGGACATGAAATATTTAGAATTTACAATGGTTTGAGCTTTATTATACTCTAACAATGCAAGAAGTGCACATTTTCATGCTCCTTCGTTGTTCCTGGGAAAGGTAAGATGATTTGTGGAAATTTTAGACTCTTGCAAATGTGTGACTGTTGCAAGGCTACTCCTTGAAACTTTCAAAAATTAGCCTCACTTCGCACTCTTCATGCTAGCTTTGGGGATCCATGCACCTCCAATTCATAGTTTGGAAAAATGCGTTTATGTGTGATGTTAACTTTGACATGTTTCATTAGTCAAGATATACAATTCATATACAAGGTAAACAGATTTTAAAACATGTGTCTTTATCAAAAAAATATGGCAATTATTTTTTGTACTTTTTATTTAATATAGCTTCGCCTTAAATTTTATTGCATATAATCAAAGTTTGGACACCTCAAATTTTTCGCGCTCACTACGCTCGCGATCTATCAACGGGTGGGGGGGTAGGCATGAAATATTTCAGGCAAAATGCGTGACATTTACGCTATCCGCGTGAATGGTCAGAACGAAATGCGTTCGTTTTTTTCGTCGTTCAGTTTTGTGGTTTTCCTGCAAATGCGTGACAAATACGCAAATTGCGGGACAGTTGGACAGCCTGCTGACTATCTGTGCCATGTTAAAGTGTGGATGTAACCTGATATTTTACGTAATGAGAGTTGCTAGCAACTTTAAAACCGGCCTTTAAAGATATATTTTAAGTATGGTTACATGATACGAGGGGTGATCAATAAGTAATGGACGCTTTTTTACACAGACACTTTTTATTGACCAATCCCTTTGATTTTCCTACCAATGATACATCATTCAATTATCTATCAATTCTGAAGATTTGAAGACAAGATATATAATACATGTTGATATATCCTTATTTCCGTGAAGGAGGTACAGGTACCCCGGGACCGACGTTTACGTCTATCTAAGCCTATCTAAGAAAAGTTCAAAAATCAATGGACAAGTACCTTATGTAATAATATGTAACAGGATGTGACATAATGTTACTCTTGAAAATGCAATTAAGAAAAAAGTTTCAATGAATGACAAATACACTTTCTCTTAGGCTTACTGTAGCAGTTTATACTTTATTCAGCAATAATGTCTGTTTGCTGTAATTTACTTCTAATTTAAGCAGTTTATACTTTATTCAGCAATAATATGTGTTTGCTGTGATTTACATGTACTTCTAATGTAAGCAGTTTATACTTTATTCAGCAATAATGTCTGTTTGCTGTGATTTACTTCTTATATGTAAGCAGTTTATACTTTATTTAGCAATAATGTCTGTTTGCTGTAACTTACTTCTAATGTAAGCAGTTTATACTTTATTCAGCAATAATGTCTGTTTACTTCTTATGAAATTAGTTTATACTTTATTCAGCAATAATGTCTCTTTGCTGTAACTTACTTCTAATGTAAGCGGTTTATACTTTATTCAGCAATAATGTCTGTTTGCTGTGATTTACTTCTAATGTAAGCAGTTTTTACTTTATTCAGCAATAATGTCTGTTTGCTGTGATTTACTTCTTATATGTAAGCAGTTTATACTTTATTCTGCAATAATGTCTGTTTACTGTGATATACTTCTTATACGTACGCAGCTTATACTTTATTCAGCAATAATGTCTGTTTGCTGTAACTTACTTCTAATATAAGCAGTTTATACTTTATTCTGCAATAATGTCTGTTTTCTGTGATTTACTTCTAATACGTAAGCAGTTTATACTTTATGCAGCAATTATGTCTGTCTAGGCATTAAATTCAAACATGACTTTAGTCGCCGTTTTATTCTGCATATCTTTAAAACCTTCCTCGTAATTTTCGATTGAATACAATTTAATGCCAATTTTTGATAAGTCAATTGATTTATGGATATCTTCGATTGCTTCAATGCTTTTGCTCATTTCATCAGGATTGCTGCAAATAGCTCCAAAAATATTAATTTCATTCAATGTGATATCCACTGGGTTAGCTGCATCTAAGCGCAATGATGTATCCTTGGTGGTGAGACCAAATATGCAGAACTGTGCGCCTCTCCGTGCCAAAGGAAGGTACTCCTTCAGTGATTCCCGTGTACCTGCAGTATCAAAAATGAAGTCAAATCCTTCATTTCGACCATTTTTATCTTTGAATTCTTGTTTCAAAGCATCAGGGCGCATCACACAAATTCCTAATTCAAAGCGCAACAAAGCATCTCGTCGTGGCTTTGACCCTTGGACGACTGTAATCTTCTTGAAACCTTTGTGATGTAACAGAAGTGCCATTGCCATTCCAGTCCATCCGCAACCAATTACTAAAGTGTTAGATGTTGCTGGATCAAGACTTTTGGCTGTTTGTTCAAATGAATGCAACGAACAAGCGAATGGTTCACTCAACGCTCCAATTTTCAGTGGGAGACAAGACGGAAGTCGAAAGAGTCGTCTACGTTTGGAAACCATGTAATCTGCCATCCCACCATCAATCTCTATGCCTATCAATGTGAAAGTTCCTTCATTTTTGCAAAGATTTCCTCTGCCACTTTTACAGAAACCACATGATCCACATGCCATGACACAGTTCGCGCATACTGGGTCCCCAACTTTTAAATCATGGACTCCTTCACCAAAGGACTCTATAAGGCCTGAGACCCAGTACTGTCAACCCCTAAACATTTTCTCGCGGGACAGATTTTTTAGACCAAGTGCCCAAAATTTGCGGGATTTGCGGGACATCTACTAAATTCGCGGGATTTCGAGGGACATTTAAGGGATTTGCGTGATTGTGCTAATAGGCCAATTTTTTTTTTATCAAATTCGCGGGATTTCGCGGGACCATTCGAGGGACAAACACCCTAAATGCGAGACAGTTAACAGGGGTACCACCAAAAACTTCATAGAGGGACAGATTTTTTAGACAAAGTGCCCTAAATTTGCCGGATTTCGCGGGACATCCACCTAAATTTGCAGGATGTCCCGGGACATTCAAGGGATTTGCGTGATTGGGACTAATGTAAAAGCGTGTAAAAGTACTTAAATCAAACATTCAGATACTGATTAATCAAATATAATGCACCGTTACATTGTAACTTAAATAAACGTCAACACAATTTCACAAAATACGCATAGGAATATTATTATACTTCATTGTAATTTATCAAAAACAAAAAACATGCTTCAGGTGTGAGTACCGTAATCTAACACGAAATTCAAAAATTCGGAACAATACTTTGCACTTCTGGCGTCGTGACCAACTATGAAACGCTTACCCCCATAATGTTATATATTAAAATGTACCTATTCATATACTGTAGGCATGGGCTTTCAATTGAAAGCCCATGATATAGGGGTTCGATTAATCTACATCAAATTATAGGAAATGAGGTTACTTTTCTAGATAGGGTTTGTAGAAAAACCGGGTACTGGGTAGTAAATCCTCCATGCTGGGTTCAAACTTGGTACTCGGTCGAAAAAAACGGGCACCCAAAAAACGAAATATACGAATATACAACATAATTAAATCATTAGAAAACGTGTAAGATTTGTTTTGAATTATAAAAATGTATGTTACTTCCTTCAAAATTGAGCTAGAAGCTTCAAATAAAAATTATTTTAAGGCTCTTTTCTTCCTCTATCATCATGGTCATATTTCCATTGGTAATGAAGGGGGGGGGAGTGCGATCGCACCCCCTCCTGGCTACGCCAATGACATTGTAAGACGATTTGAAAAACAAGACAAATCAATCTTACTCTATTTTCAATACTTCGTATGTTGGTACATGAATTGTTTTGATTATGATTTAAACCTGTAAATAGCTATCGTTGCTTTAGCAGAGAGGTGACGTGTGTTAATTTAAATGATGCAACGTGTAAGATTTTGATTATTAATCATAATTTAAGTTATCCCAATTTTCGACAAAATGTCCACTGAATTGTAAATTGTTATGTCTTACAATGTCATAGGCGTAGCACCCCCCCCATAACCAATGAAAATATGGCCATGACGATAGAGGAAGAAAAGAGCCTTAAAATATGCTTTTTATTTGAAGCTTCTAGCTCAATTTTGAAGGATGTTACATACATTTTTGTAAATTCAAAACAAATCTTACACGTTTTCTCATAATCTAAATTATGTTATATATTCGTATTTTTCGTTTTTTGGGTTCCCGTTTTTTTGATCGAGTACCGGGTACCAAGTTTGAACCCAGCATGGAGGATTTACTACCCGGTACCCGTGTTTTTCTACAAACCCTTTCTAGATATCAGCGTCCATTTATTGTAACTCGCGTTTGCTAATATTTGCTCAGTTCTGAGATGAAGGCCACAGGGGTAGTAAAAAGGCCAACGTTGGAACTATTTGTGACCTACATCCCTATTTTCGTAATGAAAAATGAAAGTTGAACCTTTCCCCTTTATTTTGATACCAAACAACAGCATGCTAGGTACTTAAAATTAGGTAAACTTTACTCCTCAAAAGTGCAAAAACTTAGCTTCTTATAAAAGATAAGATAATCACAATATAGGGGATTGCAACAATTTCGGAAATTCGCGGAGGTCAAAGCCACATTTGCGGGACTTCGCGGGACATTGCGGGACACGCGAATTAGCCTAATTTTGATCAAATTCGCGGGATAATCCCGCCATTCGCGGGACACTTGACAGCTCTGTGAGACCTCATGTCCTAAAATGCATCGTATCCCATTTGCATTCTTGTAATTGATCAGTCCCATGTCTGTCCCGCATATTCCAACATATCTCACTTTTACGATAACTTGGTTTGGTTCAGTTATTTCAGGTTTCTTCACTTCTTCCAAGGAAAGTGTTCCTTGTGTCTGATCAATGAAAAGTGCCTTCATATTTCAGATTTTGTTCTTTCAACTTAATGAATAGTTTAAAGAAAACTTAGATGACTGATTTGCTTTAGCACAAAGTGTAAGTTAGAAACATGTGACGTGATATGAGAGATGTGATATATGAGAACATAGATGATAGATACAAGGTCACTTGAGCATTAAACACCGGGCTCATTCACCCTGGTATAGCATGACGGTTACGCCACCTTTGAAAACGAGGTTGGACAGCTACGTTCACTGGTTTATCCAATAAAATGGCCACGATGAAACAGAAAGCTTAGGGGGGTTGAAAATATAGGTTCACAGCTTATATTCTTCTTCTTGTAGACCACATGGCAGATTTAACTCAGTCTGTAATCATCCATATATACATCACCGAATGGAAAAGTTAATGAGAAAATTCTGCCTGTATATCTTGCAAACAGAGAATTAGGACATGCTGTCTATCCCATCTGCCATTTTTTATTATTGTTACCGAAAAATTTTGCAAATGGCCTTGGTATAACAGGGTGTCATTGTGCAGAGGGTGTTATTGTGCAGAATGTCTTCTCTCTTAAAAGAAAAAGTTTGTTGTCATAACAACTTATCAAAAAAAAATTTTGTTGCCATTCAAACATAACTTTACTGATTCAAAAAGAGAAAAAATAACTCCCTAAGTGCAGTAAAGTGGTTAAAGCATTGGAATTTTGCTGCATTCCTCAGTTTAGTCACATGTTATTTTTCAAACAAGAATCACTCCTTCCCCACATTGTCTACATCTGGTGAGAAAATTTGTCTTGTAAAATGTATAAAAACGAGAAAATTCAGTGAAAAAGTTTTCTGAAAATCTTCTGAATTTTTCGCTGAATTTTCTTGTTTTTTATACATTTTATCAAAACATTCTTCTCTACATTCTTTTCTAGAATACATAAGTGCACTCGTTGTGCAAAAGTGAGAGATGTATACATCGTGGGGAAGGAGTTGTGGAAATTTGAAAAATAACCTGTGACCCTATAGAGGGTTGCAACAAAATTCCGAACATGCACCCTGACCTTAAATAAAAATTAGATTTAAAAATGATACTGTAATTCTAGTTAATTTGGTGCATTTGCTGTTTTGATGTCATGGTCACTGTTAGATGGTCATATCTTGTGTTGTAATCAGTGTGTGAAGTCACTATCGGATGGAAACGATCTAATCTGCCATCCCACTGTCAATCTGTGACCCTATTCTTGTGAAAATTCCTTCATTTTTGCAAAGATTTTCTCTGTCGCTTTTACAGAAATCACATGAACCACATGCCATGATACCATTTATGTATACTGAGTCCCCAACTTTTAAACCATGGACTCCTTCACCAAAGGACTCTACAAGGCCTAAGATCTCATGTCCTATAATGCATGGTATGCCATTTTCATTTTTGTAATTGATCACCCCAATATCTGTCCCGCATATTCCAACATATCTCACTTTTTATCTCACTTGATTTGGTTCATTTATTTCAGGTCTCTTCACTTTTTCCATAGAAAGTGTTCCTTGTGTCTGATCAATGAAAAGTGCCTTCATATTTCAGATTTTTTTGCTTTCTTTTGAGTGAAGAGTTTGGAGATAGCTTAGAGAACTGTTTTGCAATATCACATAGTATAAGTCAAAATATTAAATGTGCAAGTTTGTAACTTTTGTATACAGTTCAAGCTAACCTGAACAGTAAACACTGGGCTCATTGTGCAAAATGTTTTCCCCCTTAAAGATAGTTGTTTGGTATTACAAAATGTATAAAGATATATTTGAAATGAAATAAAGTAATGACTGATTAAAGATTAAAAGGGAAATTTACTCATAAGAACAGTAAAGTTGTTAAACAGAGTTTTTAAAAAAAAGAGTTTTTCTGTCATGAAAAAATGTTTGTTTTGTAATCCTAGGAGGTATAGCTACAGAATAAAGATCATTTTTTGGTGCAAAAATCAAGGTGATCAGGGGGGCTCGGTTGGAAAGTGGGAACTTGCATTTTTATTTCAGAAATTGCTAAAAAATCACACCATCTCTATGTTTTCATAGAATAGAATATAAGCTGGTTCACTTTCTTTTGAATCTAGACCATATAGTATAGTAAATACACGTTCAAAATGCCATATTACAAAGTCTCCCCTATGTTACTCTGACTTACTTTCGAGACGTACTTACTGTAATTTACTTCTAATGTAAGCAGTTTTTATTTTATTCAGCAATAATGTCTGTTTGCTGTAATTTACTTCTAATGTAAGCAGTTTATATTTTATTCAGCAATAATGTCTGTTTGCTGTAATTTACTTCTAATGTAAGCAGTTTATATTTTATTCAGCAATAATGTCTGTTTGCTGTTATTTACTTCTAATGTAAGCAGTTTATATTTTATTCAGCAATAATGTCTGTTTGCTGTAATTTACTTCTAATGTAAGCAGTTTCTTCACCAAAAGACTCTACAAGGCCTGAGACCTCATGTCCTAAAATGCATCGTACCCCATTTTCATTCTTGTAATTGATCACTCCCATGTCTGTCCCGCCTTGCATCTGATTGATGAAAAGTGCCTTCATATTTCAGGTTTTTGTTCTTTCTATTAAGTAAACAGTTTATAGCTAACTTAGATAACTGTTTGACAATAGCACACAGTATAAGTTATAAATCTTTAAAGTGCAAGAGAGCCATAGCATTTTGTTTACAAGCTTATGTGAGCAGTAACTACTCAGGCTGGGCTTAATGTGCAAAATGTCAACTCCCTTGGGAAAAAGTTTGGTGTTATGTAGATATATTTAAAAAAAAATTTTGTTATCACTCAAGCAACACTTTACACCAATGCAGCATACATAAAATGTACTAATCTGTTGAAAATATTGACTGATTAAAAAATAAAGGAGAAATTAAAGGGGCAATAAGGACTGTAGAGAAAATAGGAAAGTTTTTTCATTTTTTATGAGCTATCAAGGAAACATTTGGTTTAACATCTTATTTGACAAACCTATTTTCTTAAAATGTATGGATAAATTATCAATTTCAGCATTAAGAAGTGTAAATTCAGTTCAAAGCTTCAAAAAGGGGACTTCCACTTTTATATTTTTAAGATCCACCATGTTTCAAGAGGAATATCAGCTAAAATATTGTTTATCTAGGGGGTTTCTTTGTAGATAACAAAAATAGATGTTAGTCTTGATGAAATATCCAAACTTAAATATATTTTGACACTGGTCCATGATCGTTGAATGACCCCTCTGCACTAATTATTGCACCTTTAACTTTAACGATGGTTTTATTTTAAGAGTTTAACATTTTTAGAAAAGATTTTACAGTGTTAAAACTAGCACTCTATTTAATTATCAAAAAATCTAAACTTTTGCTTCTAAAATTGGTGGGAAATTCAAATAATTAAAAATTAAAAGACAAACATCTTCTTATCCGCGCCAACTTTTTCTTGATGTCTCAAACAATTTCTCAAGTAAAATAACATTGGATGTATTAGGCCCTTTAAAAACAAAGCATATACAAATCGATTTGAAATAGTATACATTCTTATCAGTATTTAAGTACCTTACTTTATTTGAAGCCTTTGTGTAAATGTGGTAGAATGCATGTCATAACCCTGACCCTACTTGAGTAGATTTGTGAGAACACTGGTTGGAGATCAGTGAGTATCATGACTTTTTCTGAGCTCACTGGTCAGATGGTCATATCTTGTGTTGTAATTAGTTTGTGAGGCCACTGTCAGATGATCATATCTTGTGTTGTATTTAGTTCGTGAGGTTGCTGTTGGATGGTCATATATTGTATTATAATTGGTCTGTGAGGTCACTGCCATATGGTCATACCTTTTTGTAATTAGTTTGTGAGGTCACTGTCATATGGTCATATCTTGTGTTGTAATTAGTTTGTGAGATTACTGTCAGATGGTCATATATTTTGTTGCAATTAGTTGGTGAGGTCACTGTCAGATAGTTATATCTTGTGTTGGAATTAGTTTGTGAGGTCACTGTCAGATTATAATATGTTGTGTTGTAATTAGTTTGTGAGGTCACTGTTGGACGATGATACCTTGTGTTGTAATAAGTTTGTGAGGTCACTGCCAGATGGTCATATCTTGTGTTGTAATTAGTTTTTGAGTTCAATGTCAGATGGTCATATCTTGTGTTGTAAATAGTTTTTGAGTTCAATGTCAGATGGTCATATCTTGTTGTTGTAATTAGTTTGTAAGATCACTGTCAGATAATCTTATCTTATTTGGTATTAATTGAGTTTTTCAATTTTTCTTTTACAGAGAGAATCCTGGAGTTCATACTTCAATTATCAGTCGTATAATGGGCCAGGCTTGGAGGTCTATGACAACAACAGACCAGCAGCCTTACAAGTAAGTATTGTCAGCCAAATTACCTCTAATACCTCTTATACCCCCACCACTAATCACTTTGAGATAATAATGGGAGGTCTGACAGCAGGAGACCAGCAGCCTTACAAGTAAGTATTGTCTGCAAAAATACTTCTAATACCTCTTATACCCCCACCACCAATCACTTTGAGATAATAATGGGAGGTCTGACAGGAGCAGACGATAGAAAATAGGAATATGAGATCTTTGGAATTGGTTAGTCTTCAATTGAATAACAGCGCAATCTTAACATCTTTATAATAAGGAAATAAACATTGATTGTTTATTGGGTGATAAGTGTTTCGTTCTTCACGAACTTCCAGAATTTTTTTTAGAAAACTTAATAACTATAGACTGCTACTAGAATGGGACTTAATCTAAATATACTTGTAAAACTGTTAGAACAGTTGGACTAGACTTGATGCCATTTGACATTGGTGTTGGGATTTAAGTTTGTAACAAATTGTTACATTTTTATGGATGAAACATGAGGGTTACAAAATTGTTGTCATTTTAAAATGCCTCATTTAGAAAACTACTCTCAACCCTAGTTCATTACAAAGGAATGTGCCTCATCTTTTTGGAAAAAATTGAATCTTATACTTGTACTTTCAAATTGTAATGTTCAAAGTGTGTTTTTCCAGAGATAAAGCCAAGGTTTACACAAAGTATCTTCAGAAGGTACATCATAATGGAGCCCACCAATCTGCTGTAGCAGCACCTGGCATGTTGCAGCCACATGTACCAGATCTTCAAGCAAAGGCCACTGAACATCAACTTAACATCCCTGTTAATCAGATCAACCAGGTCCTGGACAATCGGTCGAACAATCAACCATCTGCCTTGGACAATCAATCAACTGTCTTGAACAATCAACCATCTGCCTTGAACAATCAACCATCAACCTTGAACAATCAACCATCTGCTTTGAACAATCAACCATCTGCCTTGGACAATCAATCATCTATCCTGGACAATCAACCCACTTATGTAAAGGACAAAACTGACAGTCAGACATCCAATATTAAAGCAAAACAATGAAATTTGTTCGAAACATGCAAAATCATGCAATGGTAGTGTAGAGGCATCTTTGGATCTTTCTTCATTTGGAACAATGATTGAATCTCAATGACTCAAATGAATATTGTAAGGCACCTACAAATGATCCATCTGTTTAGCAGTGCCCAACTGGTCAATCTGAAAACTCCCTGGTCATAAGAAAAAATATTGTTGCATTTTAGAAAAATCAAAAAACTGGTTGTTTTTTCTGTTAAGCAATTGGTTAAATTGTAGGGGTCTTCCTGAATGTATCATGTTTCTAAAATTGTAGATGCATTTTAAAGTTGAATTAAGCTGGTAGCATCGGAACATTGAAAATTGCACATAAAATTGATCAACGAAGAGTTAGACAGTGTTACTTGGAATCTGTTGCAAATTGTTACATTTTTGTGACACCAGGTGATGATTATAATATTGTTATAAGTTCTTTTTGAAAATCTTAAAGTTATGAAATTGATGAGGTAATCAATTTCACTGAATCTAGGTCAAGGTCAAAGTTCAGTTCATCTGTTATAAAATATTGAATGTCAGTTCTGTATTCTAATATCCTAGATGCGAGTATAAATAATCTTGATTTACGTCATTAAAAATTCAGTCAAACTGATGTCATATTTGAAATCTACATGTAAAATTACATCTAAAAATGTGGTTTTGAAAAGAGTTTATCAACTTTAAAAATTTAATTATCCCATCGAACGTCCGTCCGTACATCCGTCCGTCCGGGCAATAACTCAAATTCGTTGGCCCGATTTTGTTCATATTTTGTACACATATACCCTATGGGAGGAAAAGTTCTGCTCGAAAGCCAATTTTCAAAATGGCCGCTCATTTTAAAATGGCGGCCATTTAAGTGCCGATTTTATAGTAATTTAGGTGTAATATGTAAAACTGTAATAGCAATATGTTTTAAATGTAAAAAAATTATATAGGACATTAATGTTGCTAGAAATGTAGATATTAAAGAAACACATGGCAGCCATCTTGAAAAATGGCGGCCTTTACTCGTTATTTTACGATTTTTGCTTTAACTCGAAAAGTAGTGGAGCGATTTTGTTCATATTTGGTATGTGAATACTATAAGCATGGCACACTGTTTAATGACACTTTTGGTAGAAGGCGGCCATTTTGAAAAATGGCCGCCATTTTGGCCGCCATTTTTATGTATTTTACTATAACTCGAAAAGTAGTGGAGCGATTTTGTTCATATTTGGTATGTGGATACTATAAGCATGGCACACTGTCTAATGACACTTTTGGTAGAAGGTGGCCATTTTTCAAAATGGCCGCCATTTTAACATATTTTTCTATAACTCGAAAAGTAGTGAAGCGATTTTGTTCATATTTGGTATGTGAATACTATAAGCATGGCACACTGTCTAAAGACACTTTTGGTAGAAGGTGGCCATTTTGAAAAATGGCTGCCATTTTTGCTATATACTTTTTTGTAAATATGCCAGCCATGGCTGTTCGATGGGATTTGCTACGCTTTGGCGTTGCTGCGGTCTAGTTTTCTTTGAAAATGTGACTTCTAGGTTGGGGAGATTCCCCATAGACATGTTGAAAAAACAAAAAACGTGAAATACCACTGAAACTGATGAATATTCAGGTTTAAGGGAATTTTGTAATACCCTGCCATGTTATTTCCCTCGAATCAGCCACCTGGTGGCGAAACTGGTAACTACCTACTCGCATCTAAGTAATTGGCCAGAATGTTACAAAGAATGCCTAGCTATGCGTAAATAATCAATTAATGCATTCAACAATGATGAAACACTGTTATGTTTGCCATGCCTTGACTTTAAAGACTGCCATTCCTGCCAGTTTTCACTTTGAGTCATATCATACAATGAAGCAGAAACAGGCCCATAGCCAGGATTTGCCAAGGGGGGGGGTTCAGTTTTCAAAAAATTCCTATGGGGGGTTCACATTTGACAATTTTGGCCCAAATATGACTAATATCACTTGAGAAGTGCTCAAAATTGTGAAAAACTGCATGATTTTGAAAGAATTTTTGGCCAGGGGGGGGGGGTGGGAGGGGGAATCCCCCGAACCCTGCGAACCCCCTCCCCTGGCTACGGGCCTGAGAAATTATAATAAAATGTTGCAAAATATTGACTCACTAGTTGCCTAAATGAGGCATTTTAAGACAAGTTCATGGAGCAAATTAATGTTACTCTGTTTCAGTAAAGTTTGTTTGATATTAAGATCTAAGATCTGGTATAGGTTTTCTTTTATATAATTGTTACATTGATTACAGATGTATTTCATGTATACTTATGTACAGGGTGAGACTGAGGTGTCAATCTTAATCAGGGCCAGATTTTTTCATAGGAAATACAATATATCTGCACTGCAGTTTTGAGTCACCATTCATTGAAATTTACTTTTATGTACAGTACAAGTAGTACATGTACAAGTATATACACTTCACTTAATGAATGTAGTACTACAGAATAGATATGCAGAAACATTGTATATTAAGTAAGTTAAGACATTATGTATATCAAAGTTAAAATGTACATGTACATAAACAATTTTTATTAAACATTTTTAGTATTTTGATTTATGTGCTAATACTCTAGGGGCGAGGAGGAAAATTCTCAATAAATGGTGTATACAGTAAAACCTGTCTAATCCGAACACCTGGCTAATCCGAACACCTTCCAATTTGAACACTTTTTTTCGGTCCCATTTTTTCCTCTCATTGATTCCCATGTTAAAAAAACCTTGAAATCTGAACACCTCCTAATCTGAACAGTGAACAACCAGATTTGAAAAACTGACCTGTCTAATCTGAACATTTTATCAGAAATCAAATGTCTGGACATTTCAATTAAAGCCACATATTGTTGAGTCAATGTTATAGTTGTTATTTATCTTTACATGCAATGTAATCAAAGAAATATTGTCCTAATTAACTTATTTAAGTCTCAATGACATCCCTAATTGTGGAGAACAACAGGATGATTTGGAAAGGTGTGAATATTGGAGTTAATTGGTTTATCCTATTAGAAAAGAACTGAATGTTTTATGTTTGGATTAAGAGAAAGGTGAGAATCTGGAAGATAATTGGTTTATCCTTATTTTAAATTAACTGGATGTTTTTGATTTGGATTATGAACAAGTCTTAACTGTTTTATATCCCATAGGTCTGTTATGATAGCTAGGATTCAATCAGTAAATGTTTTATAATCACAGAGACAACACAGACACATTTGCAGACAAGATTATAATTGTTTTATCATTATTAGAAATTGCCTGGATGTTTTTGATTTGGGTTAAGAGAAAGGTGTGAATCAAGAAGCTAATTGGTTTATCCTTATTTTAAATTAATTGGATGTTTTTGATTTGGATTATGAACAAGTCTTAACTGTTTTATATCCCATGGGTCTGTTATGATAGCTAGGATTCAATCAGTAAATGTTTTATAATCACAGAGACAACACAGACACATTTGCAGACAATATTATAATTGTTTTATCATTATTAGAAATTACCTGGATGTTTTTGATTTGGATTAAGAGAAAGGTGAGAATCTGGGAGATACATGTAATTGGTTTATCCTTATTTTAAATTAACTGGATGTTTTTGATTTGGATTATGAACAAGTCTTAACTGTTTTATATTCCATGGGTCTGTTATGATAGCTAGCCCGAGGATTCAATCAGTAAATGTTTTATAATCACAAAGACAACACAGACACATTTGCAGACAAGATTATATCACAAGAGAAAAAATTGAACTTCGTAATATCCTATCACTAAAATGCCTCCTAAAAAGGCACATCTGACATCCTGAATGCCCTTGATATTTTGAAAGATTATGCATCATCTCGAATGAGCACTCGTGAAAAATTAATTGAAGAGGGTATCTACTCAAATATTGCTAATGCCAAAAGTGCCAACAAACAAACAACAATGAACGACTTTTTCAAGCTAAAGTAAGGCAGTGCTATGTAACCATAATATGAGATAAGTCATTTAATAAGCATAAGATTTCGTACAAGACTATCATATACTTATTCAGTGTATTACAAAGTTTTTGCCAAAATTAAAGTTATTTTTCCAAAAATAATGAAATTGTTCAAAATGTAAATAAAACATAGCATATACATGTAGGCTATAGGCCTATTGTTGTAGAATAAACTCATCAACAACATTTTTTGTTTTCTGACTAAGTATTAAGTGTTCAATATAGTGGACTGAACAATGAAAATCCCCCCCCCGACCAACAATATCCTCGAAATTTGAACACCTGCCAATTTGAACGCTTTTGGCTGGTCCCATGGGTGTTCGGATTAGACAGGTTTTACTGTAGTTGGTTTGGCAGTATTTTTAGTTAGGGGAGAGTCTTGGATGAAACTTCCACCTAGGCGATAGCTTTGTGGCGTTCTAGGAAGTTCTTTTTTTGAGGAGTTAGCCCCCACCCCCCAAAAACACCCCACTCTGGGGAAATAATTGTTCACACTAAATAACCTTAGATATTTTGATGTTTGTAAGTGACATACATAGATATTATATATATGAATCATTTGCAGTATAATTGATGCTGATTACTCCTAAAGAATTTGAATATTAGTACAAAGTGTGTACCACAGGGGGCAAATTTGTGACTCATTTTCTTACTGTTTTGATTCTAACTTTTCAATTAAACGCTGTAAGAGGTTGAAAAAATTCATGTGAAGTGAATCAAGTACTACAAGTTGTAGTGCAATTTATCACTTTTGGCCTTTATTAAAATATGTTTTTTATGTCCACATGATATTGTATATTGTACATATAAGATTTGAATAAAGAGTTATTGTACTGGAAATTCATATTCATATCATTGATTAATAGCTCACATGGTAAGCTTTTACAATCACTCACTTGTATCAGTGTTGTTATAATGACAACAATTTTCTGTAAAGAGGAGGCAGGGTGGATGGGCTTGCATTGACTACAAAAAACTTGAAACTAGGTTAAAATATTGATTGAATAGAC